GAAGCCTCACAGCTCCCTCGTGCCCATTCCTAGCAGCACAATCAATCGGTGTAAGGCTACACAAATCCCCACTGATCAAGTTCCAAGCCCCCATCCCTATTAGAGCAGCAACAAGCTCGGTAATTCCGAAGACTGAGGCACAGTGCAATCCGCTCAAACGGAAATTCTTAAGGTAGTGAGGATGGTGCCCTTGTTTCTCCAGAAGAAGCCTAGCAGATATGTGGTTGCCACACTGGCTTAAAAGCTCCAGCGCAAGAGCTTTTGCGCAATTCGAGAGCTCCAATTTCGCATGATTTCCCCAATGTAGAGAAGAATATCGGAGGAAGGGTATGTGGGGGAGGTCGGAAATCCAATCAACCGGAAGCTCATTGACCTGTTTGGAGTTGAGAAAGGTCAAGCAAGTCTCCGCCATTATCGAGTGAGCGCTGCCAAAAAAGTCGGGATGAGCACAAAGATACTCTTTCAGCGTGAAATGGATCAACCGAACGGTTAATAATTGCTTATCTATGGTGATAAGTCCTTGACAGCAACCTAACAGCGTTTCTGCAGAAGGAAGGTTGTCGGGATTTAGGTTCGGCGATCCTATCTCAACAGCCAGAGCGTGACACAATTCATCCGCTTGCAACGGCCGCTCCGAATGACAGATCCACATTAGAGCCGCCATCCCGAGCCTCGATTTCTCCCCGCCCTGAGCTTCTATCCGTCCTATTGTTGCGCCATAAGCTTCGCCCAATCCCAGGCCATTAGCCATCGCATCCAGCTTCTGCCGCCGGCGATATATCGTGGGTTCGCGTAGGATTGCCTTGATATTCAAGGAAACCAGCAGGAATCTAAACATATCTACTTGTTAGCGGATAATTTAAGACGCGTTATCAGGTATGGTTGTTGCGTACATCTCCGAAACAGTATCTGGAATCCTTTCCACAATATCAGCTTCCAGGCGATCGTCCATCGCATCAGGAGTTGTGTCCTCGTCCAGCCTAGCGCGGATATATCCGATAACATCATTTTTACGAGGGCTTATTGAGACGATAGCCACTCTTCCAGAAAGATGCCTCACAATCTCGCCCCGAATGTGCAGCCTCCCAGTGAGGAATACGCGAGTGTGTAGGGACTTCCAGACAATGTAGCTGATTAAATTAAGAAGTTTGAGTCGGTGCTCCGGGACACATTCGTCCAGGGCGTCGATGCATATGAATGTGCGTTGGGAGGAAGAGTTGGCCTCTAGCATTTTCATGATTTCCGGGAGTCGCAATCCCCGCCCACCAATCACCTTTTTATGGTCTTCAAACGCCTGGACTATCTCTTCCGGCATGTCTTCCAATCTACCGACAACTTGTTTCAATAGGGCACCCAGCACACTGGCCGGAGACTGCTCCTTTCGGACGGCGAAGTCAAAGTAAAGGCATGCGACGGCAATATTTTGTCCCCTGGCCTGGTCGCACAGGGTGTCTATTACTAGAGAACTAACACCGCCACGGGTTAGCAACACCATCCTTTGATTTCATTCTCTCGAGGAGCTTCTCCTTAAGTCACCTTATATAGGTTTTACCGACCCCTGGATTGCCGCAGCAAAACAATGTCGGGTTATCAGCTTCACCGTGACGAGCACCATTGCGCCATCTCTGGAACTCCTTGGGTTGCAGGATCCAGTCGCCCACGTTATCGACTCGGCGGGTTCGAAATTCTTGATGCCGTTTTCGAGGCTCTAGTGGAGATAACCAGGATAGGATTTCAGACCTATGATCCGCAATGGTATAGTGATTGGACACGTTAGACACATTGTTATAAGAGTTGGTATGGTTGAAACAGTTGACATTATTATCGTTGAGATATCGAGACATTTCTTGTTTTCGCTACTCGAAACGTTGCACCGTAGGGGATGGATTGTTGAGAAGAGTCGGTGGACGAGTGTGAAGATGGGATCCCTCATCCCTGAAGTCTGTCAGAGTGCTCGAGAGTTTGCTGGAATACCATAACGTAAGGTCTCAGTCCGAAACTCCAAGCTAGTAATTTATTACCAATTAAGGAAGAACACTTTCCGGATCGTGTTATTCTTGTAAACAATATCTTTTGGACACGGCACAATACCGGTACCAACATACAAGTACGAGGAGCAGCTTGGCAGCTTGGTCCGGACACCCCACGGATGGGCCAAAACGCACTGAATTTGGTATGGTGAGGGACCTCTGTTCATTCAGCACTACATTGTCAATTAAATTTTGCTCAACCTCAAGCCCCAAAGACCTTTCAACAACCACTCCGGTGAGAGTTATGGCTCTATTAGATGATATAGTAGGTGATTCTCCACGCATTAATAGAGAAATATTTATTTTATCTCAAGTTTTCAAGGAGTTATCAGGGTTTAATACAGGGTCAATTTTGGCTAGAGAAGGGGAATGTCCAGAGCATGTTAATTACTGTTAATTTCCTTGGTACAGCAGTTAGTGAGGCTTTACCATGCAATCAACCTCTATTAAGTTCAAAGAGTGGAATACTAACCCACTATTACTAAGCCATGTGCTCTATTAGCTACAGATGTCCCACATAATAAACTGAGTGTACTCGTACAACCCCTTATAGCAAACATGTCCCATGAGGTTGCACCCGTCGAAACGTTGGGTTCATTCCTTGGCAGCCTTCTCCCTGTGAATAGTGGTACAGTGCTCGAATCATCAATACCGGTACCGTACTCCAAGTGCTGCTTAACATATCCACGGGGGCTCAAAATGAGCCAGAACAGTGGTTATTGTGGCTCAGGGCCAGTATAGAAAGTGTTAATTTAAGGTTTGTTGCTATCATTTGCATCGTTGACGTTGAAGCGAATGGGGGGGACTCTAGTTCTGGTTGGGACCGCTGCAACCATGACCCTTGCCCCGGTGTTCTGCGTTAACTTTACCGGTATTTTGAGCCCCGTGGATAATACAGGAGGGGGATCAACGAACACGGGGGCTCAACAAACAGAGGAAAGAAAATTCCAGTTTGCCAAGACCGCTTTGGTGTATTGTTTGTTGAGCCCCCCTGTTCGTTGACCCCCCCCCTCCTATGTTACCGGTGTCGAAGTATGGATACATGATTCACACGTCCAGTCTTCAACGGGACGCGGTGAACAGGGATCAGTAACAAGTCTTTTTTTCGTCAACTTACCCTACCGGTAAACTTACCCTGTCAAGTTCACTCCCTCACCCGCCAGTCACTCCCAGTTGTCACCTGATGATGTTCATTGTGCCGCTAGCCATTTATAGAATCCGAGAGTACCGGTATAGTACCGTTAGGAGGCTCAAGGTCACGTGTGGCCACCGTATTATCACCACAACAACACAACAACTCAGATACGGTACCCCCTCCGGTATCTCCCAGTACTAGTACAAGTATCATACTTCCGCACGGCCCACAATACCGCACAAGCTGCCGTACGGTACTTGTATATCAACCTACCGCTGAGATGCACCGAACCCACCCCTTCGACCCAACTCAAGCACCATACCGGTACCCCCCCAGCTAGTTATTGAACCCGCAAAGCCTCGTATCCATACCAGCTCGAATCATTTGCGCACGGGATGAAAGGTGCGACGGGTTAGTGGCAGGCCACTACTAGTACCTTTCTCCGCCGCCTACCGTACCATACCTCACGCCCCGCCACAGCCCTACGGGTCCTCGGGTTGCTGCGTGTCATGATGGCACGGTATAATAGGAACCCCGCCAGTGATCACACCGACGAAGCTAGCTCACGGACAATCACTCTGTGTAAGTATCCGTGCCCGGGTGGGGACCGCTACGGTAGCGCACAGAGTGGGCCAACAGGGTCTGATCGACTTCGAATCGGCAACTTGCGGATTATGGCCTTATCACAAGCGTGAAGGCAAGTAAGGAATTACCCTTCACCTGAGGAGCTAGACTACATATGATACCCCTCCACCTGTTTTCGTGACGTGCGCTGGGTTACCATCCTTTTCTCTCGCCCCGAGCACGGAACTTCTTCTTCGGCTTGGCGGTCGGAAAATGTACTCGAGTACACTGGCGCCGTGGTACCCGCTACTACTACACTATCATTCCCACTATGGCACTAGTGCTCCGCGTACTCGAGTAGTCGAACGGAGGAGCATATTCGGAGGTTCGAAGCTCAGCACAGTCTATGGCCTATTCTCTTCACAGAAAAAGAAAAGTTTTGCACAAGCTCCGTTTCCTCGAGCTCCTCGCTACTCGCCGCAGTCGGGAAGGCACACCTTGATCCGAAACTCGAAAACCGCACTCCGTGGCTGCAAAATACAACCATATTATACATTCTGCGCATTTGGAACCTCAACCCTCCCTACCAGCTTCACACTCCGGCCTAGCAGCTCCTGGTAGTATGGAGAGTCACACCGCAGGACACATAATTTAATGATTGCGAATCTCACGGGGGCGCTGAAGTCACTACTCTCGTGATTCCTGTTCTATGATACTTCCATTTTTACCGGTACTGTACTGTACACGTCCGAACAGAAGGATGGGGGAATGGTTTCTCACGATAATCTGATAGGAGGGGAGGGGGATTCCGGATGCACCGGTGCGGTTCTCGATTTTTTCGGCTTTTATGGTGAACACACCGCGCGAACCCTACTTCACTCAACTCCTGGGACACCCCACCCGCTCGGTGAACACCGGACGGACGGGCGTCAGTGCAGAGTCCACTTTCTGCATGCCTCACGTCCCTGCCCCCCTTTTGAAACCTGCTATCGGTAAACTGCAGTGTCCGTGCGGAGCTCGGAGGAGTTTTTAACATGCTAGCCATTCTTTGCTCCGGGGACATGATGGATGCGGGTAGGGCGTAGTGATGTTAAGCTTTGGCGGTGGATAGATGGGTATGATATGTGCATGCGCGGATGGGAGTTATCACGAGTGGTCGGCCTTGGCGTGACGTTTTCACTAAACCTTAAGCCTCGCTGTATATATCACAAATAATACAAGCCATGAGTAGCTGTAGCTTCAAACTAGTACGTGAACTGGGGCAGCAAGTTAGGTCGCATCAAATCATTTCAATTCCAATTTCTACCCTCTACCAAATCCATGCTGTTCCAGATCCATGCTATCATAACTCAGTTCGACCCAACACTCCCGGGCCCTGATCCATCGTAGAATATGATACAGTACAAGTTCGGTGTCCCAAATAGGAGAGGGAAAGAAAAGAAAACCCCCGGCACAGGGTGTCACAATAATCGAACCAAGAAGCAAATGGGCGAGCCTACCCAGCCCCCAAACAGAAAACGCTGTTAAAATAAAGTAGACAAACACCCTACACCATACACCTAACATGCAATTCCCGACCAGATCTGCAGTCCCACCACTCAATGGCTCGTTCCGTTTCAATCCCTTTTCTCCTTCTCGTCGAGCAGATCGGTCCACTCGCCCGCACCTTCCCCATCCCACCCCTCGAGGGTTACGAAGGGAATCTCGGCCTCCTCTGTCAAACTTGACCTCACGACGCAAGCCCCCTCATTCTGGCAAATCTCCTTCCTAGCCAGGTTTTTAAATTTCGGACCCGTAGGTCCATGTACGTAATCTATCCAACATCCCGATTAGCCCTCACTCTTCCCGCCTGAATCTCCTTGGTGCTAAGGTATCTCACGGTACTGCCCCGCAACCATCCACTGCCTTCGATCGCCGGCTTTGTACATCCTGTCCCCCCACCTGCCGCCAAAGTGGAACCAGTCTACCGGTGCCCCCGGGGTATCATGGCTAGGTTTCAGGACATCATGTTCAATGTCGTACTTGTATATGTATGAGTTTTTAGTAACGTCCCAGAGAGGGCCTTTGTCTGTGTGGTCTGCGAGCAGATGGAACGGGATAGCATAGTAGTGTGTTCCTGGGCGTGCGTAGTTTGCATGAGAGCCGCGGGCGGAGTAGCATACGGGCTGTACAATCCAAGGAACCGTGTCAGCGAGGGTAATGTGGTGCGAGGAAGGAATGGAGATGCGTACGCGGATACCGATCTTCTCAACAGCACCATACTCGTACGCTGCACCACTTGAATGCTCACTGTAAAAAATGCTCTGCGGAACTCCATTCACGAACCGCACGGCAGTATGCTCCCAGTCGCCAACATGATTTCCAAACCGCCAGCCGGCAACCGTGTTCCCCAAATTGAAGCTGTAAAAGTAAAAGTAAAAAACATCCGTGACATTGCTCTCCTTCTCCGTCCAGATGATTATCCCCGGCGCCGTGCTAGCACCCACATCCGTTTCTCCGTGACCGATGGGAGCGGGGCGGTTGTGCTCACCGCGGAGCCAGGGTGGTTGGGTTTCCGGATCGTCATCCGAGGTCAGGTAAACGTGAGGACCGAAGCGGTTGAGATGCGAGAGGGAGGTTAGAGATTGGCGGGTGTCGAGTGGGGTTAGTGGAGTGTAGTTTAGGTACGGTATCGTGTGCTCAAGGTGCTCGCCAATGTCACCGGGGAGGAATATTTCTTCGCTGTAGAGGTGGACATAGGGCGCTATTCACCATTGTTAGGGATGGAGACTCGGGTTTGGAGATGAGGGGAAGTGGAGGGAGGAGGAACCATAATCGATCGCGAAATGCGGAACAAAGCCTCCGGTAACATTCTCGTGACTCTTAGTTCCAGTGCCCAATGCCGGCTTTGTGCCCGCGACATCGCCATCCCACGCCCACCGAAGCCCGCCAAGCGAAAACCATGCTCCCAGCCACTGCTTTGCTAGCAGGAACATGAGAAGCAGACAATCTAACGGCGCATTGACGGCGGGGGAAGGATCACTAGTATTTGTAGTATTAACCCGAGGAACCCCGGGGGGTTTGCTCGCGTAAGACTCAGCCCGTGGCAGAAGCACTAGTTGTTGAGGTCAGTTAGCTATCACATCGAGCATCCGTATCCTGATTCCGGAGCAGGTGCGTAAAGGAGAATAGCGAAACCCTCTCAGACGCTCGAGGGTTCAATTGATCGCCCTGCTCCGGCACCCCACGAACTTGCATGCTCCACCCGGGAGGTGAATGACTCACTTTCCAAAAAAAAACCGACTCTCCTAGTGAGTCCAGCCTCACTCAAAATCCTCTCTTCTCTGTTTCGACCTTAGAAGCTTCCTTCCCTCGTTCTTGCTCCCCACTAAATCTCGCCCTGGCTCTCGTCTCCGTTGCCGTCGCGGTTGCCGCCAGCCAGCCCCACACAGGTGGACCCAACTCAAACACTTGCTGCCGCTGTAGACTAGCACCGAACAACGGTAACACCGGAGCCGCTTAATTCCGAGAGAGGTACCTTAACCCCACTTATTAACAAGCAGGTTTATTCCCAAATAGTTCGCACTCGCACTCGTGCTGTATTCCGCGTCCGCGACGACCTTGGTTGACGAAGCGAGAGCGAGGGTACAGTAGCTTTGGGTAAAGGAGGGACTTTGTCGCTGGCTGGAAGGCCTTAAGCGTTACGAAAGTTAGAGAGGAAGGAGAGAGGAGGCTGGACGAGTTAGAGGAAGGAAGGAAACCCCGGCTTGTTCCGATCGGATATGATGTCTTATATTCTCTTGACTTATGCCGGGGGGTATGAAGCGAAGCACCGGATTTAGAACCCGGCGTGTTTCCGTTGCACGGGAAGGGAGGGGGCGCTGAGGTACAGGATCCGGAATACGGTAGGTATGCCAAGGCACGGTACAGTATTGCAATTTATTCTCTCGAATTGACGGGGCAGGTGTGCTTCGCCTTGTATTGATGTTGGGGGATCGATGGTAGCTTATAGAGTGGGATCGGGATAAGTTTAAGGGGGTGGGAGGGGAGGTTCCGGTAATATTGTACCGTGAGGCAAGGTCCGGAGGGGACATACTGGATTAGTGTATTTGGGAGCACAAAGAAGCACAAGACCAGCAACTGCTGCCCACGCTCTGCATGGTAGGCACGAGCGCAGGAGTACCGGTAGATGGGATGGTATGACGACTTGGGTTCGATTCACGGCCATGCGGATTTAGCGAAAAGGGAAACAACGGGTCCCAGAGCGCAGAAGCAGACCTGTGTCTCCTTTCTCAACGGGTCGGTCGTTCCACCTACTTTGGATTTGGGCACGATATCCGTGCCTGCCTCGCATCTGTATACTATATCTGCTATCTACATCCGCAACAGGATATTTCTACTACAAGTCCTCTCTACACACCTCTGTCGACCACTTCGGTCCTGTCAGCGAAGTGAGTTTAGTCGCGGGCTCGCAAGTCACTCTCTCACTCAGTGGCCCAGGCGCGGGGACTCTCACACCGTTGACCACTTTATCTGGGGGTTTACCTAATCACAGCCGCCACCATATATCAGCAGAGGTGACAAAAAATAAGATAAAACTAAGAACACTATTAGAGGGATTAGGTCGCAGTGAAAACATACCGACAGCACCCCCCATGCTAACCCCTGCACCCTTCCCCGTAATCGCACCCTTCCCCCTTCCCGATGACCTGCCCGTCGGACGAGGGGTCGGGGTCCGGGTCGGGGTCCGGGTCGGGGCCGGGGCAGGAGCATCCCAAGTAGCTGCCTGCTCTGGCAAACTGTCTGCTGTAGCCTTCAATGCCTCTAGCAATTTTGTGACACTCTCGGCCGTCAAGTCCTCGTAATAATCATCATTAATCTGAACCATCGGGCCATTAACACAAGCCCCCAAGCACTCCACCTCGCTAAAAGTGAAGATCCCGTCCTGGGTTGTATGCCCTGGCTTCACACCTAGGAACTTCTCGACCGCCTGCATCACGCTGTCGGAATCGCAAAGCATGCACGGCGTAGTGGTGCATACCTGAAGGTGGTACTTTCCTACCGGGTCGCGGTTGTACATTGTGTAGAAGGTGGCCACTTCGTAGACTCGCATGGGCGGAATATCAAGGATACGGGCGACTTCGTTCATCACGCTGATGGAAGTGAAGCCATGCTGGCGTTGACCTAGGTCCAGGAGGGGCATCACGGCGGCTTTCTTGTATTGTGAAGGGTAGCGTTTGAGAATTTCGTTGATGAGTTGTTGATTTTGCGGGGTGAAGGAGAAGGGAATCGAGGGGTTGTTTTGAGAGGTGTTCCTATGCTGTGTGTTGCGAAGGCCTCGTTAGTTGGTGTCGGATAAAATGGAAGGTTGGGTGGGAGATGGCGGGGGACATGCAACTGCCAGGGCGTCGCTACGGCGCAGAGGTGTTGTGCTTATGCTTCGGGATGGGATCGGGCAATTGATTCGACGGGGAGCCGCACGCAAAAGACGGGGGAGGAACGCCATGATGAGGAATGGGGATGATCACGAGAATCCGGGCGGAAGTGAGTTGGGCGGCGAGATTGAGATTTGGTTTGGCGAAGGCATGATTGGCGCTTTGATTGGGGGGGGGGTACGTTGGCCGGGTAACTGAATTTCCTCCAAGATTGGCGAAGCATTTGCCCGGAGTCAAGTGACATTCTTTTGGTGTCGATACTGCGCAAGTGCGAGTACCTATCCCAACTCCTAATAGGGGGGATTTCGGGATGGCTGGATCCGCTAACTCCTGTGAAGTCACCGCAACTCAATGTTTGCCAGTTTCTGGTACAAGCATGATGTCGCAATCGAACCGCCATCCTGTTGCGGATTCGGGTGACCACTGCTGAACCCCCCAATGACGTCCGCCAGGATGCGGCTCCGCACCCCTCCTAAACCTTAATTTGACTTGAGTTAGATTTGACTCCCTGAACAGCGATTGGGCTCTTGCCATCATACTACTGCTACCCGTATCGAGCACCGGGTGTTGAACCTGTTTACTATCGGTACTCGGGTGTGAGAGCTTGAGCGTTACAACCTAAGTTATCCGGGTGGTGTAGAACCTCGGGTGCGACCGTGGGCGGGCGATCCCAAGCGCGTATGGGCCACGATGCATCTGCGAGCCCAACCCTGCTTCTATTCTCGCCACATATATGATCGACCTTTGCGCTTCAATTACCGGTCTGGACGGAGGTGAGAATGAGCAAGCGGAAATATGCGGATGAGGTTATAGGCGAGGTGGGGGTGGAAAAGGAAATGGACGGGGAGGAGGTGGAGGATGAAGATTTAAACGAGGAAGGAGATCGGCCGCAAAAGCCCCCTCCATCCTTTGGTGGCCTTTTATCGAGGTTTGCCTTCTCGGGTTCGAGCTCTAGCCAGGCTCCAACGATTCCCCTCGCAATCGCCTCTCGGCCAACACCGCCCGAACGTCCACCCCCCACCGGAAACCCCGCTGAACTGTCACTACCCCCGACCAAGCCCAAAAAGAAGCGCTCGAAGCACACCGGCTATGCACCCCCAAGCGCATACGCTCACCTGTCCCCGCTCCCCGACACCCTTGAGGAGAACCTGATCTGCATCTTCATCGGTATCAACCCAGGTTTAACAACCGCCCGCATCGGCCATTCGTTTGCGAACCCCACGAACCTCTTCTGGCCGCTGATGCACTCCTCGGGATGCACCCCAGACCGCCGCCTCCCCCCACAAATGGACGGTAGGCTGCCGGAGTTGTACTCCCTGGGCCAGACCAACATCGTCAAGCGGCCGACTAAAGACGCGGCGGAGCTTTCCAAGGAGGAATTATTGGCTGGTGTCGAGGTGTTAGAGGAGAAAATGCGGATGTATAAACCTGAGGCGGTGTGTTTTGTCGGGAAGGTGGTCTGGGACGCGGTTTTCAGGGCACGGAACGGGAGGGGCATCAGGAAGGGGGAGTTTGACTGGGGGTGGCAGGAGGGGGTTATGTTTGGGGGGATGGAGGAGGGGGAGGGGGAGGGGAGGTGGGGGGGTTGTAGGGTCTTTGTGGTGCCGAGTACGAGTGGGCTGGTAGCGGCTTATGGGCCAGAATTTAAGAGGGATCTATGGAAGAGGTTGGGAGATTGGGTGCAAATGAGGAGGAGGGAGAGGGGGGAGAGTGCGCCGAAGGGTTTGGAGCGCGGGGAGAACGGTGTGGGTGAGTTAGTTATGGTCTGAGCGATAGAGTATATGTACCATATATGTTCCTGGGTTTTCCATGGTCTGGTCGATGCCATAGAACAAAGTCTAAACATGAGGGGTATCGACTTCAGTCTCCCAAGTTTGGAGGAGGGCTTGATTCCCTAGGAACCTTTGCACCAAATATCTTCTACATTTCTCACCCCACCTACCGGTGGCTGGGTATTATATGGTGCCATACTCACGATGCCCAATTTGAAGACCGCTGGAGGGTGTTGGTGAATATTTTACCTTCGTCCCCCTGCGTATCCCCCCGGAGGACTGTTGGAATAAAACATAAAAAAGTGGAATAAGAGTCCTCCGAAATAGCTAAATGAGGCCGAGGAGTGTACTGGGTCTTTTCCAGATGTTAGTACCACCACTGCAAGAGCTGCTACTAAAGTGTTATTAAGCCGAGTTTTCTTTCCACGCTGTGTATTTTCGACTGGTAGGGGTGTTCGCTCGGCGTCAAGCATTACCGCTTCTTCGGAGGTAAGTGATGGTTAGTTTCACGCAGTGAATAAAACCATCGCGCCTGGGAACCCTATCCTCCCGTCACCGTCGGTATATCCAGACATAGTACTGGTGGAACAGGTCTCTCTACAGCACACGGGCGGAATAAATCTACATGTGAGCGATGTTCCACCCACCTCTTTACACCCAAAGGGAAGGTGGAGCCGCCAAAGCCGAGGCCCTCAGCGAAAGTCGTATTTGTAGATATGCAAGCTGACTTAGAATCCCGGATCGTTCACGACCCCCACATTGGGCAGCCGGTGGCCAGAATCGCTTGAGTTTTATCGGGCATGCTCCATGCCCTCGGTCCACAAAATATCACTCGGATTAAGCGATCTTAAGACCATGATCTCGGTATCATGATAGTGTAGGGCGGACGTGGTGATGAGGTGGATGGTGCTTCATTGTATTTCACGGGTGTAAACCAGCTGTCTAAATACACAGGCAAGAATTGTGTGCGATCACTCAGAGTCTCTTCGGACCCTTAGGTCTACAAACCCCCAATATCACATTTCTCCATCCTCACAATACTCTCAAGGCTGCTGCCCCTATCGACACAACAACACAACAGACGACACACAGCAATCAGGCGTGCGTAGAAGCTCGGCCTTGGTGGGTAACAGCACGCAAACTCCCGCGTTCTCTAATCAAACCTCTGAGCACAAAAACTGGCATTATGAACAAAGGTCCCAAAACTAGAGAGGATGTGAAGGAATTCGTGCGGGGGGGGGGGAGGAACTGGGGCAACAAGTATATTCAACTGTACTCGCATTATTTCGTGGGGCATATGAAAAGGGATGATCTGATCTCTAATATCCCGTGAGACCTAACTTACTTGCCACTGTCGCCCCTACGGTCTCCAGATCCGGAGGGAAGGGCTCCTGAGAAGGATTAGCACAGTCCTGGCGCAATATACTATCCGCCCACGGAAAGCGTTTGATCTTGAAAACCAATATTCACAATTCTGCTCACTGCATGCTCGCAAAACAAGCTTATTCTGGGCAAACTAGGTAACTTCCGCTGATAATCGGATGCCATACCGTTAGTGGGTTTTACGAGGCTTCACGGTATGAGATTAGACCCGAAAAAACCCTTTTGGATACCATGCGCTTGGCGGTAAACCCTTTCGGATACTTGTACCATCCCCCTGGAAATACCATCTAAAAAATGAAACCTTTGTGTATACAACCGATTTTCGTATTTCAGAATTCATTACCATCAGAAGGCCTTTCAATGCGTTGATATACTGCTGCTTAAGAGTGGTAAATGTTTTGGGCAATTTGTTGTGCCGAGAATTCCAGAAAAATTGCGAAACTATCGTACCTGACCTACTGACCCACTGGATATCAAAAAGCATAGAATTTTTTTTAAAAAAGATGTAATTCTTTCTTTTTCTTGTATTTTTTTCCTTTTTCAATTTGTTTTGTTTGAGGAGTGAAAGAGTGAGCGAAAGAGCGTCAATGCCTTCTTGCTCATGCGAAGGTTTCACTTTTTCGATGGTATATCTCCCGGGGATGGTATCCGAAGGTTTTACGGCTGAACGCATGGTATTCAAAAGGTTTACCCAATTAGATCCCCCCAACCGCCGCCCACGTTTTTCCCCGCAGTGCCGGCGCTGAATGTACTTGTAGGATCCTGCATCGCGCTAGAATTAAAACTAGTGTTAATCTACTTCGGTCTGTGCCGGAAAGGGCAACCGGGCTACGCCAAAACGCATTCAGACGAAGTTACAAGTACAGTATGATACTGTACAAACACTTCTCCCTTAACCAAGGCAAGTAAGCCTCATCATGGAAATTTCTTTTTACGTTTATAAGGGCCCGTTTACCTAACCGTCTATTTCCTGGGATTTGTATGATACCGTATGGTGGGGTTTGACGGCACCGCGAGGCCCAGAGTTGTGTTGCAACGGACGGTGCCAGCTGTGTTTACATAAGTTAATGTAGTCTAGCTCCAGAGATAATACGGCAGCAACACCATCAACCTCAAACATTGGTGACTGCACACGCCAGATAGCAACAATTATCGGGCATGGCACGATAGTGAAAAGATAGATTTACGGAAAACCTCTAATCCACACCAAACTACCACCAGGAATCGCTCCTCGCACGACCGCTGGCATTGGGATTATTTACTCCACCCTCGGCGCGAGTCTCCCGGCCTGTGGGAGGGGGGGCCATTAGTCTGGGAAAGGATCAGGCACATTACCCCTGCATGAAGCAGGAGATACCTATGCTGATTTTGGTCAAAATTCTCTCAACAGCAACCGGATGGCATCACGGCGGAAAGATTTGTGCTCCACCGGCGAGCAACCCTCCCGAACCAACCCCTTCGTTACAAGGTCCACAAGCCTCAAATCTCGAATTCTAGGGGCCCCCGGACACAACTTGAATTTCTATGGGGAAGGATATTGGATGGGGATGGCTCATTACCTGGATTGACAAACAAGTAGCCTCAAGCATGGTAAAAGCCAAGAAAGTGGGAATAAGCCTATGGCGGAATCACCGGCCGCTTGTTTTCAAGTCGCACTTGTGCCAGGGCTAATCCAGCCAAGTTTGCCCCAAAATGGAGAGAACGGGTCATAGAATATCACTTTTTATGGTCAAACACTTTTTGTTGGTAATCTGATGCACTCTGAAGAAGACGAGAAAAGAGGTGTGGAAAGAATAAGGCGTTGAGCGGGTGGACCGATGAGGACTGGTTTGCTTTGCTGGGATTGGTTAGTCTAATGGGAGGGGAAAGCAGGAAGGGCAAAAGGAAGGGGGGTGGAAAGGAAACAAAAAAAATCAACGCTGGAGAGCCCAAGCGTCAACGTATCATAATTATGATATGTCCACTCATGCTCAACACATTTCATATCTACCGCCACCCATATTAATCGGCATCGGAGGGTTTGCCCGGGTTGGGTTTTCCCACCAATTGCCTACTTTTCATCCTGTGGGTTCCGGTGTTTGAAACAGGGCTGGGCTCTGGGAATGCTCCCCACCGATCAAGAAGTGTTCGATTTGATATGATATTTGATATGTCGGGGGTATAATAGGACTATCATCACCGTTCAGGAAGGCCTTGTTTGTTAATTTATCATAAAACCTTCAGTTTGGTAAGGAACCTAATCCTCAGAACCTTAGCTCAACGAGCGATCTACCCTACACAAGGCATCGCTTATCTAAAGGCCCGGCTACATTGCTACCCTCTCTTCTATGCACAGCACTACCCTATTGGCTCACATGACCGTCCAGCCCAGCGCCAACCGTGTCATCATTTGTTATGATAGCCTATCCACAACTCCACTGTTTGCCCCGAGAACTAGACTGCCCCCCTCACTCCCCCTAAGTAGTCTTCGGTTCTGTTGCGACAGGCAGACTCGTACTGTGAGGGGGTTGGGCTGAGGTTAAGAAGTTGCTTCCTGGTCAAGGTCCTGCGGTTCCTGTTGAGGCCACTACCGAGGGCTAGAGGGAGGTTACGTAACGGGCGCTTCAAATCTATGTGGGAACTTGAGGCTAGACCTTTGGATAAGACGGTCCCAATTAGAGATAGGAAAGAGCGAGATGAAGAAAGATTCCAAAAAAAGGTACGTATTATATCACACTGTATCATGACACAGCCGACAAGAAGCGAAATCGAGGCGGAAAAGGAATTCATACTTGTAAATAGACCTGTCTATGGCACAATATCGCGGTGGCTCAAAGCAATTAAACTCGTCGCTGGGGAGGCTGAGAGCACAAAGGACGAGTGAAATTATTCTCGAAGACACCCCCCTAAACTGGCAGAGAACACTAAGAACACTTGCCTAGCGATAGAGTTTAGAGAAACTCCGGTAAACAATCTGCAATCACTCATATGATAGTGCCTCACTTACCCTTATCGTTCCTTGATGTCTACGCTACCCCTGTCCTACGGTTTAAGAGACTAATAATTGCTGGATAATATTTTGCTGCCCTAGGAGCTTGAGGGACGCGGTACCCGTAATTGGGTGACATTTGCGAACACAGCTGTGATTGCACTCCACCCGGATCCCGCACGAGAGGCCTGTAATTGGTGGTAGGCTCAGTCCGCAAATGTCGACTCGTTACGTGGACCGTACCGTACCGGTACGGAATAAAAGTCCGGTCAAGTGACCTGAGGGGTATGAAACCGATATCACTCCGTTAGCTACTAGATCGGGATTGCAAGATGGGGCGTCTCGGGCGCGAGGCTGTAAAACATGCCGTACCCTACCGGTATCGCACGAGTCTCGCACCGTAAGAGTGGCCATTCACGAAACCCCTACTGTAAGCCCTAGTCATGCGAGAAGAATAACTTCCTGGTGCACTGGGATTTATGAGCAGGGGTCTAGAAACAAGAATGTGGGTGGCGGAGAAAGTGATAACGGCGCCCGATCGCATTACTAGAAATACCGCCCCCGGCTCCGAAAGTTATAATTCCATCTGCTGTGTGGTCACTTGGAAGAGACCGTAGCATAATTCTTTACAACTTGCTCGAGTACCCGCACGGTGGACTACGGGTGGTTCACAAGTTTCGTGACCTAGGCTAACCCGCTTGTCGAGTTCGTTCCCGTGTTCTCGCGAGGTCTGGATTTGGAATTCGGGTTCGCGGCTTCCGACTGGGGTCCAAGGGTTTCGAAATTTCAGCCTTCCCAATTCGGGCCATCTATTGGTTGGTGGTGCTAGTTGCAT